GAATGAATAAAATATCTTGAAAACTACAATTAGCAAACATTAAATAGATGCTCATACAAAGAAAAATTAATTTTTAAAAAGACATTTTTCTTGGCAAGCTGGTCATTTTTGCCTTGAATGTCACTTTCAGCCAAGTGTTTGCTACTATGTTTGTGTGTTGGCTATAAAAAAAGAGATATTATATGGTTGTCATCAGTCTACTTCTAATCCAAGCACACTGACAGCCATCTCTTCTATATTTTACCTCCCTTCCTTATATTTTTTCAGCTGGTGACCATATAATTTCATCTTATTTTTCAGTTAAGAATATTTAAAAGGAAAGCTTCCTGACTCTGATGTAATATTTTGTGACTGATTTATGCACATAATGTGATGTCCATAAATCGGAATCACAAAATATAATGTGATGTCACTGGAGGCACGGTGGAGTAATGGATAGCAGCTCGGATTGAGGTATTGGAGAGCCAAGTTCAAATTCCAGTCAAATCCATTACATTCACTTACGTGCTAATACCCTTGGGAAAGGTATGAATCCTCTTCTTCTCTCCCCAGCTATAGGTAAATAGCAGGACAGACCGAGTTTTATAGGCTTGGATGGCAACTGGTATACTGCAGAAAGAAATGACAACCTACTGCAGGAAAAAATCTGCCTCGTCAGTAATATATCGAAAGATACATGATCACCTAAGCACGTATAATGCATGACACATAACTGACTGAATGTGACGTCCTGCAGCAAGTTTTACTTTTAAAGTAACAGCATGCAACCCAATGCGAGATATCATTCAAGATGTTTCAGGTTTGGTTATTAAGACATGGTCATTTTCAAGACATATAACTTACCAAACCAAATATTTGAATTTCAAAAAGGGCAATTAGTCAGAAAATTAATTAGGATGTGGTCACAACTATTAGTAGAAGAATGAAAGAAAACTCTCAAATAAAACTTTAATAAACTTTTCAACATACTTTATTGCATTTTAGTTTTTTAATAGTGCTTTTTAACATTTGAATGGCATTTACAAATGTTAAATGTTCCTTTGTGCTATCATATTCAAGAAAGAAATATTCCAACTCCAATAATTCCTATGGTGGTGTATTAGGCTCAACAATCTGTGTCAATGTCAAAAAACTTGATTCCAATCCAAAATTCGAATGCATCAATGATACATGTGTAGAGCTTCATCACTTGCCAGAAGACATAATTAACAATCTCAGTAATGATCAATGTTAAGAATATAGAATGTTGAAGTTGATAACAGGAGGCAAAATTGACAAAAGTTTACTGAGATTGAAACCTTGCCCAGTCAGTCTCTTGTGTTGACTCACAATTGTAAAAAATATATATATGTAAGCATCTGCATATAAGCAAGCATAATTGTGAAACATATTGTCTTACTTTATTATTCAATTTGGTTTGATATCAAATGCAAGCCATCAATTTTGAATAGCCCTTGCTACATTTATAAAGGAAGAACAATTATTTGTGATGTTTTGTCAAAAGAGATTTGTGACATTGTGGAAAAACAAATCAGCCATGGAGCCTTGTATGCTCATTCCAAAAAATTTCTTTCATTTCTCTCTGGTGAAGGCTATGCAGAAAGACAGTTTGCTGTAAAAAAAAAAAATAATAATTCTTGGAATTTGTAACAATTCCAAAAAAGGGAACCAGAGTATTAGGGTTTTTCATGTTCCCCAGTTAAATTGGTCTGCAAAAGAATTTAAGGAAATTATTGATTGTAAATTTCCATTTGAGCCAGTTCTGACATCAAACTTGACAAAGAAATTGGAAGTGTTTTTTAAGCAAGCTATTTTAATATGAACTTTGTTCTTTGTTATTCTCAGTGTTGATTGATTAGTAAAGACATTTCTTATGTTTCTGTTAATGTTTTTAGATCTAAGAAATGTGAGAGTTTTATTTTTTGCTCGTTGTCATGGCTGAAAATTTGTACCAAAACTTGAAGAGAAATCAAATCTGAAAGAGATGACATGAATTCAATTTTAAGTTGAAACATTTTTGCATCACAGCCATTTTGTATAGGTATTGCTAATCTTATTTCCAAATTGCCATTTCTTGTTCAATTCTCTAGAAAAACATTGACTTTATTTTGTTACACTTAGTTTAATTCATTAATAACCACTGCAAATAATTTTTTTATATTAAATTCTTGTTGATTATTGGATAGAAGAAATTGTTCACTTGGATTCAATTTTCATTTGTTTTCTTCTTATGTCAAATTGGTTTACAATGAGTGTAAAATGTGGTTGAAATCAATCAATCAAGCAAGACATTATTCTATCAATTAATTGATTGATTCATTTTTTACATCTTATCAACCCTTCACATATTATTTGAAGTCAATTTAGTCAGTTTTTAGATTGGATTTTTTTCTTTCTTTTTTTTTTTAAGATGATAATGTTTTAGTGATACAAGTCTTACTAATTAACCCATAGCTTGATGGGGAAGTGGTGGATTAATGCTTTTCCTAAGTGTATTTACATATAGATAAGGATGAAGAAATTATAACAGTGGTATTGCACATGTTTCATTCCATGTAAGTAGCAGAGGAAGTTTAGATTGAAGATCTCGGCAACTTGAGGTCCACCTTAAGCAAATTAATACCCTCAGCATTTTCATCTACTCTGATTTTCTTTCACCTCCAGCCAGCACTTGCAAAGCCAAACGTGGATAGAAAATAGATGTTGGGAACAGGTTTCATTGAAACTAGAAGCTTCTAATCCTGAACCTACACATTGATGGCGAATTTAGTCATCAACACCATCATCATAAAAGCAGCTAGCAGCAAAGAAGAAATTAAAATCTTGGATAACAGATAAAACTGACAGTGATTTATACATAAGTGAATATAAAAAACCTAACTGGCATTGAAATTCAGCTCTCCGATTAACAATTCCAAGCCATTACTCATTACACCACCTACAAATCCATGCTTACAGCACCTGGTATTCTCAAGTGGACAGCCATTTGGTTACTGACCAGACTTGACGTTACTTAACTTTGGTGAGCATATTGGAACTTATTCCATTGAGTTATGTGGCAGAATCCTCAGAAAAGGCACTTGTGGAATTATCAAAAACAGAATCTTAAAATTTCACTTTAACAAGATTTTTTTTTTCCAGTTTTTTTACTGAAATACTTATGCTGAAATCTTGAAAATAATAACTTTTTCATATTTTGTGAATTATAATTGCTTGGAAAATGTGCTCATTTATCATTGTATGTTGCTTAGTTCAAAAGTTATACAACATTTTAGGTGCAGGTGTGACACTGTGCAAAACAAAAGTGATTTTTTTTGCCAAAGGAGACAATGAATATGGAGATTTCTAAGTTTACCTTGGGCTTTGTAGTGACTCACCACATCTTTCTGCCTTTTTCATTTTGTAAAATACTTCATATGCTTTAATAGACGTATATACGAATATTCAGTTTGAGGAACTAAAAATTTCTTGGCATAATGCATTTCCAAAAAAATCCTGAATAAAGGACAAAACCTGTCTATATTTCTGAGATGAGGTATTATGTACATTATGTACATTATTTGGACTATTTTCCTCATCTTTGTCACCATATTTATTAGAACGTTTTGGCCCTTTAGTATCTGTCTATATTTTTGAGATGAGGTATTATGTACATTATTTGGACTATTGTCTTCATCTTTGTCGCCATATTTATTATAACATTTCGGTTTCCAACCACCTGAAGAAGGCTGGAGCGTACAACGGCCAAAATGTTATAATAAATATGGCGACAAAGATGAGGACAATAGTCCGAATAATGTAAATAGTGTACATAATACCTTATCTCAGAAATATAGACAGATACTATAAAAATTTATTGTACTAAGCAGTGTACCCTAGTAAAACCAATATTTGCTGTTTTATTATTATTTTTTTATTTTGTAGTGGGGGGAGTCAGACTCAGTTTTTTTTTTTTTTTTTTTTTTTTTTCAGCACCCCCACACACATTTAACCATACCTACGTTTTTTTTTAATATGTGAGAAAATCTCACCTGTGAATTTGGACTTGTTTGGTTTATTTCAATGCTAAGTGAGCTGAACTGGATTGATTTATTTGATTGAAACTTTAATGACATCAACTGACTGACATTATTGACATTTATACTGGAGATTTATTGAAATATAATGTTGTAAAAGATTCTTTATTGCTGTTTGTGATAACTGCTACTTGGAGTATAAATCATTATGTAAAAGAACTAACAAACTTCTTCTCAAAATGTAAATCAAAGTATATATGTAAGTATCTTTCAATAGACTCTACCTGGTAGAAGACATAGGGTTCAACTCTATTTTAATGCCATGTTCCCTCAAAACAAAGGCAATCATGGCTCACCGTAGAATTTATGTTCTATATCTATGAATTTTCCTGTCTCCCTGTAGTCATTTCCTTTTGGTTGGGAATTGGGTTTTCCTTCAACTGGAGGCCATCCAAGGCTAGAGAACTCAGTGTACCCTGCTATTTAACCCATAAAAGGAACATATATTTGTGCCTTGTCTAAGGCACTAGTGTGAAAGTGAATGCAACAGATGAGGCCAGTATTTGAACTTGGTTTACCAATATATTTTCTTCACTGTTAACCATTAAATTAGCCATGCATCTATTTTGTCGAACTAGGACTGATATTCTGTCAGTTGCGGTTCTCTGGTTAGAAGTAAAGGAATTTTCTTCAACTTTCAAGATACAACTTATCAAAATGATTGATCAGTGGTTGAAGTTTGAGCTGAAGTCGATTCCTAGAAATGTATATTTGACAAAATTGTAACATACTCTATAGAATTTGATTTTTATGTGTTTTTCCTTTTATGGCCATGTTGACTGTAACTTTTACACATTATGTACAAAGACACTTTAGTGATAAGTTTGAAGTATGCAATTTTAAAAAATTGGTAAAAATGTTATGAGATGCTTGTAAAATTCCTATGCATAAAGATTATAATCCATAACTCTCCAGCTCATTGACATGAACAGAAGTATATTGGAGAAACTTCCTTTTACTTCTTTTTTTTTCTTTTTCTTTTTTCCTTTTTCTTTTTTCTTTTTCTTTCTCTTTTTTTTTCCTTTTTCTTTCTCTTTTTTTTCCTTTTTCTTTCTCTTTTTTTTTCTTTTTCTTTCTCTTTTTTTTTCCTTTTTCTTTCTCTTTTTTTCCTTTTTCTTTCTCTTTTTTTTCTTTTTCTTTCTTTTTTTTTCCTTTTTCTTTCTCTTTTTTCCTTTTTCTTTCTCTTTTTTCCTTTTTCTTTTTTCTTTTCCTTTTTCTTTTTTCTTTTCCTTTTTCTTTTTTCTTTTCCTTTTTCTTTTTTCTTTTCCTTTTTCTTTTTTCTTTTTCTTTTTTCTTTTGTACAATTTCCTGAAGCATTTTACAGAAGTGCCTATAAGAATGATTGATACGAATTGCTTAAATGCGCATCTTGAGATCCATCTTCAGCTGGATAGATTACCACTGTGAACATATCAATCTGATTTCATTTTTCTCTCATTTAGTTTTTCTACACACAAAAAAAGAAAAATTACCACATTCCTTTTGCAAGGACCACATTTTTGTGCAAATCTCACATGATCAAAAATCTGCTACGTATATTTTTAAATATGCGAAATTGAAAATCATTCAGCCAACTTATCCAAAAAGAATGTCCTTTTTGTGTTCTCAGTTTCAAAAATAAAATCTAACTTTTAATATAAATTATATATATATATATATATATATATATATATATATATATATATATATATATATAATTGCAAAAATATTTTTGCAGTCAAATCTTTTATGTGTTCTGTCAGTGTTTTTGAAAAGTTTGTGTACTTTTTTAATAATTAGGTTAAGCTACCTCTGTACATTCAACCACTATTTTAGTAGTTTCTCTTTGAACAAAGAAATAGGACTTAATGATAGACCTTTCCAAAACAGAAAATATGATCTGGAATTGGAATGAAAGTAGTGATGGCACATAGCCTAAATTCATCATAAACACTCATAATGATAAATTCACCTATTGCACGGCCAATACTTTTTCCATGTTTATTGAACAGAAGTAGAGTTTTATTCTGTTTAGGATATGATTTACTGACTACTTTCTTCCTTCAATGGCCTTAATGATTTAACTGTCTTGAATTTTTTGTGATCTGACTGATCAGTGATTGTGACTTTTCATTGTAAGTGTATTTGGTTGGCAGTTTTCTGGTTGCTTCATCCAACTTGGTAGTTAGGAGCCCAAACTCTTTGGTTGCACCTAGAGTAACTGCTCTGGTCAACAGTTGCATAATATAGAGGTATTTGCAATGCCATGTTGTGCATGGATATGTGTCTCTGCATGTACTTGCACCCCACCACACTATGAGTTAGTCAACCACTTTCTGTTATCATTGACAAAGGACAGTGATAATTATTTTGGCCCTTTTCTCCTGAAAATATAATCTTGTTCTTTTGTTCTCTCTCTTTAATAATGTTTTCATTTTGTCATATACTCTCACACAGTAAATCCTTGTGTCTCAGTGGCTTTATTGACTTGCCTGGGGTGAAATGATTTAAAAAAAATAAAATTGTATTGCTCCAAAAAACATTCTTTTTTTTTTTTTTTTTTTTAATTTTTTAGCTATTACAGAAATTAAGGTAACTGAATAAGATTTAGAATAGCCAAAGGATAATCTCTTTCTATCCTCTAATGATTATCTATTATCAACTTTCTGTTGAATTTCAGTTGGTTTTCTTGGAATTCTGTTGATATCCTGAAAGATATAGGGATAACATTCACTGATAGTCTGTACAAATAGAATCTCTAGTAAGTTGCATTCAAGAAATTTTATATTAATATTGTAATTTTGGCTAATCTTTGTCACCAAAATGTTGTAACCTAGGGAAGCTTATTGAGTAAAATAATCACAAGAAGGTTGTTAATGAACGATAATACTTAGGACAAGAACAACACATAAGATTCACCAGTGGCATGTAGAAGTAGTCAAGTGAATTCCACAATGATTCTTCAACTGCAGACCAACATACAGTATTTACTACTGTATTTATGTGAATGGAGACATATCCATTATTGTCCATAGGTATGCTACAACAATTAATGTTGAAGGAATCTTGATTAAGAAATTGTACTTCACTTCTACTATAGATTAGAAATCTTTAACTGACTTTTGTAGAAGACATCCAAGTCAATTTTCACTTCATTACTTTTCAAATGAAGCAAAAATGATATGCAAAATGATAAATAACCTTGTGGAAAAATTATTCATGATTTAGATGCTTTAAAGTGATAAAGAATTATAATGAGATGAATGTATAAAGCATCATATAAATTCAAGGTGAAAATGAAAAATATATGCTATCTCATTTTGGTTATATCAATTCTTGTATAGAGTTTCAGGCTCAAAAAAAGTCCTGGCCTTGTAGAATACATAAAATGTATTAATAAAAACCAAAATGGACCATAACCATAATGTATAGGGTGTGGCAAAGGCATCACCCCCGCCCACACACACACACTTTTTTTTTTGAGCTGAGGTGAAGCAATTTGAGTGGACATTGATCATTAGACCTAAAACAACTAAACTTTTTTTTTCCATTTTTTTTTTTTTTTTGTTGGGTGTACTGAATGATCTTATTTGCAGGCTCAAACTGAAAACAATTCCTGAACTAAAACAATGAATTTCTGGTGAATTTCCTGAAATTAATGTAGAAATGTGTCAAGGGGGTTCAGTAGAAGTGTTGATGATAAGCTTCAACCTTGTATTGAACATGAATAGGAAGACCATTTTGAACCTGTTTGTTAATCACAACAAATCATGGTATTTTCATTTGAAAATACTTAGAAATTTTCTTCAACTACTGTAATTTATTTTTGTTCATAAAAGTTAATAAGTAAAAAAGGACATGACTTTTGCCACATTATGTATTTACTTTAAACAGTATCAGAAACTAAATATATGACTGAAATTTTATTTTATTTTTTTTTATGAAATAATATACTGGAAAATTTGCAACCTGTTGAGAGATATAGTCTTTCTACTTTATTAATGCAAAATTTTATTCATTTTTATACTACAGTTTATAGATTCTGTTTGATGTTAGATGGTTTTCATTTTGATTATCCAAGAGAGAATTCATATGCAAAGTTAATGGGGAAAAACTCATTAGGTCCTTAATTCAACACAAAATCAACCTAATTAGATTTCTAATGCAAAATTATATATCTAAATAAAGAAATAACACATTCTGTCTTTGTTTCTGAAACTTCTCTAATTCTGGCCACACTTGCACGACAGACATATACCTTTTTGGAATCAGGATGATTCTGAAATTGAGAATTTGCCCTTCATCTGGTGCTTGAACATCCAACATTGGGAGTTGTGTCCATATGAGGAGGGAACAGTTAAAAATTCAAATTTTAAAATAACTGAAAACAATTAGTGATTTTAAATTTTTAAATTATATTGAGTTTAAAGTTAAACAAAAACTTTGTGAATTTAAAAAATTTGGTTTTAAATTCAATTTAAAATATCTTCAAAATTTTGTGAATTGAGGAAATCAATTTTATTTCTTCCAAATGTCAAGGAATCTGAGTTAAAGCAAGAGGTTTTGTAGTTCTGCAGAGTTTGTAATATGAAGAACTTCATTTTCAGCTCAAATCAGATTTCAGTCGAAATTGGACTTTTCGCCTGAATCAGAGTTAAAGTGAGGTTCCATGGAGTGAATTGATAAATTCAAAGTTATTTCTTCAAAATTATCATTTTCTAAACTGGACTAGAAATCCCTTTAGTTTTCAGACAGAGGCCCAATTAGCTTTCTGCTCAAAAGCCCATACAAAGTGCAGCTTTTAAGCTAATAAGTAATATAATTAACACAGTACCTTTTATCTAAATATGAAGTTTATAATAATCTATGCAGGTTACATTCTTCAGGTAAATGTCAAAATCTCAAAAAAAAAAAAAAAAAAAAAATAGGAAAAGAAAAAAAGGTTAGTTTCTCTAGTCCTGTATGTGTTTCTATATATGGCAGGTGTTCATTCAATTGCAAGAATAACCATCTCTGCAATAAAACTACACATCTGCTGTTAATACCCACTCAGGGGTTCTGCCGTGACTCTTAAAACCAGAAAGGCTCTTAAAATCTCTGTTAAATTTTGTTAAGTGACATACATGGAATAGACTTGGGTGATCATGTCTCTTTTGATTCATGACTAGACAGATTTTCCTGCAGTAGGTTGCTGTTTCTTTCTGTGATAGACTGGTTGCCAACCAAGGCTATAGGACACAGTCTGTCCTGCCATTTAACCCATAACTTGGAAGAAAAGAGATGGATTCATACATCTCCCAATAGTATTTGTGTGTATCCAGAAAGTGTAGACAAAACATAAAAAAAAAACAAATCTATCTATCAATCAGATGTTCATAAAATTTCACATGTCAACTTGTGATAAAAAAAATAAAGTCAATATCAGTTTCACTTTTTTCAGTCTCTGCATTTATATCGATTTTCTTTTTCTTGTACCACTTAATAGTTTTTATTGTAAATGGAAGACATCTTTAAAAATAGGCTACTTTCTCTGCTCATATATATATATATATATATATATATATATACTGCAACTGTTCATTCAATTTCAAGAATAACCATCTCTGTGCTAAAACTACATATCTGCTGCTGATAGCTATTCATGGGCTTTGTAATGACTCTTAAGACAAGAAAGGCTTTTAAAATCTCTTAAACTGCTAGCAAGAAAATGTTTTCATGTTTCATATTTTCATCATTAATGTTATGCGCATTCCTCTGCCTACTGAGACCAGACTTAATGTACAAATCAAGTCCTCCTGTTGACAATTCAATCTGACATTTCCTCACATGACTACTCAGCCCATCTTGTGATAAGCAGACGCAGCTACACACTCCATAAACCCATCCCTCATTTCTGGTTTCTACTAGTCTACTTCAGTACTATACTTCTAATGTCTCCACCTAAACTCTGAAATTTTATTTACTATTTATTTTTCCACAGTAGGAGTAGAAATGTTTGTCTATTGCCCAATTCATACTCCTCCCTGGTCTCTTGAACAGGATTAGAGATTTATCCCTTGTGTCCTGTTTAGGATTGGGTTTCTGGTTCCTTCTAAAGTCTTCTCATTCTCTTTCACTCTCAGTAGCCCTTTGTGTCTTAGTGGTATTATCACCTTGCTTGGGATGAATTGATTAAAAAAAAATGGCACAGCTGAATCACTATAATATCTTTCAAGTGTCACATTTTACTTTGGCTCTGTTGATGCATTCTTCAATATGGAGAACAGCTCCACATTTTCATGCATTTGCCTCTCAATTCCTTACACTGACCAAAGAGAAAATGAGGAATCTTTGAAGTATTTCTTGGA